GGAATGGGGCTGGGAACTGGCAGACCTGTGTGCTAGACCAATGGATCTTGCTGTATGTTCTGATAAGTTGCGTTTTATCTTCCTTCCTGCCTCTTGCAAAGTGTGCCAAGATGAAAGTTTGAAAGTTGCTTATTGACGTTCCAAGATTTAGTGTCTCATCACTGCTCACAAACTCCCCTTTCCAATGGCTGCTCCACAGGAGTAGCTGCATGCCATGCTGTGGAGTCTTGTCAGATTTTTGGTAATGTTTCTTTTGCTGCTTCTGAGTAGGTTTTGGGTAAATCTTCCATTTTATCTTCGAAGCACTTTGCAAATGCTAACTCATTTGCATGCCATCCCTCTAAGGCACATGGTGGTGTAGTTATTTAACAGAAAAGGAGGGTAAGTCATAGCAGTACATTAACTGAGGTTACTCTAATATTAAGCCCTAACAGCGGTTCTAAGGAAGTTACAAAGCAGGCATGAATTTGCCCAGAATTTATATGCCACTGTCTGCCATTTAATCAGGTAGCCATTTGTTTAGAATTAAGTTTCTGTTTAGATTTGGACTGTATAAATGACACATCTCATTTTTTCCACACATTGTATTATCAATAATACAGGGATAAGCTCCCTCCTATCCCTCCCCACTCCCTGCCAGGAAAATGCTCACTTAGATCCAGATCCAAAAGATTTTTTTGACGTGCTCAAATCCCCAGATAACCTTTCACAAAACGTTCCTAACCCTCTCTGCATCTTGATCCCTTATATGTGCAACCTCTAATTTGTGTCTTCTAACTCATAAGGATCTCACATAGACAAAGCATTAAAGAATTTAAGAGGCTCCAATATTGTTTTAATGGAGATTATGTAAGTATTTGGTTTTGGCTTTGGGAATCCAAGAATGGCACATCGTCCTTCTGTCCTGGGGTACACTGTGCTTGTGTAGCATATCAGCCTGTTTCCTTTTTATGAAATCTAAGGCTTCTGAAGAACTAGTGTTGTGTCATTTGAGTGACGTGCCCTAGGAATTCAGAGCTTGCCCTGCCCTTCCCTATGGCTTTTATTGCAAGAGAGCTAATGTGGGATGAACATGGGTACTGATGGTTCTGCTGCTAGGCTGACTGCAAAAAAATGTAAAATACAAAGAATTAAGGTAGGTATCAGTAAAGGATAGTGCATGATTCAGTAGAAGAAATGGAAAAGGAAAAGCAAGCAAAAATATATGCATGAAAAGGGAATCGTTCTCTGTGCTATTATTTTATTAATACAGTGGATGAGCTCCTGAAGGCTGCTTTCTTACCTCTCTTCTCAGATCTGTTTGGGTAAATCGGAGGCCTTCTCTGTGTGAACGTGTCGCATGAAAAACATAAGGAAGATTTCCTTCCTGTGAAAACCGGAGTTCAACAGTAGCAGAAACATTCCTGTTTCCCCCACCTCTGATACAAAGTAGGTACAGTAGAAAAGGGATGTTGAGATCTTTGTAGCTAGGGCCTGGGTGGGCAAGGGATGGAATTTCTTGCTGTCCAAACAGGAATTCTTAGGTACAGACTTAGGTAAATTATTAGTGAGTAAGCACTGGAATATTCCAAGTATTGATGTAGTCCAGTCCTACATTAGCTGAAGATGAAAGAATCGCACCACCTGGGAGAAGGGGAGACAGGAGACAATGACGTATTGGGTTTTTGGTTTAAATGCAAAGGGAGAGAGATTCTTCTCTGGATCTTGTAGTTTTTATTTGCAGTTAAAGGCATAGTGTCTTGGAAGGTGTTTCAACCAAATAAGCAAGCCCAGGGTTGCTTTTGCAGCTTGTGACTTGTGACTATTCTTTCCTAAGGTGGCCATGAGGGGCACTGCAGGGTAAGGAATGGGGACAACCACACTGGTCCCAAAGTAAGTTTGGTTTCAGATGACACTACAGAGCATAAACGGTTATCCCCAACAGCACTGCAAGGACTGACTGCATTCGTAGTTTATAGAGTGCTTTAGGAACAAGGATGGTACTGCTAGTTATGACTGTAAAACAACCTTAACGATTGTATGCTAATGGAGATTGTTGTTTGGGCAATGCTGAAACACCTATGTATAGGCACAAAAGTTTCTAATTGAGGAGGCCTAGCCGATGAAACGATCCAGTGGGGGGGGGAAAAAATTGCATGATTGTGTGTGTTTTTGTGAGTAAAGGTGCAAGGATCTGGCTTGACTTCCGAGGGGTGTATTTATGTATGCACAGCCAGTCGTGCACCTATAACGCTGTAGGTAGAAGTGACACTACTAAGGGGTCAGAGAAGGGGAGTCTGAAGCCTAGGACTGTGGGGTAACGTCATTGCCTCTGCTACCAAATCATTATTTGAATGACCTTGGACAAGACCTTTAACCATTCTTGGCAGCAGTTTCCTCGCCTGTAAAATGGGGCAACACTCATCTGCCTGGGGGTGAATTAAGTAAATTTTTATCACATACCTTGCTGATGAGAGGAATGTTGTGAGCTGGGTTATTGAGACAGGTTTGTATGCTGCTTCTGCTGCAGAAGGAATCTGAGAAGAGCTTCACAACTGCTTAGCGTCTCTTCACCATTTGTTCCTTGTCATCATTCTTGTTTCCATAACAGACTTTTGAGAAGCAAATTACTGTAGGATGGTAATATTCCAATAACTCGGTGATGTAAAATCTGAGAAGCACAAAGCAGATGAAAGGATGTGCATGTCTATATGAATGAGAATGTGTCTCAGTGTGGTGCATACTTGTGCATGTGCATATTTTACACGTTTATTACTTTACCTTTGTGTCTGGTGTAATTGTATATGAGTGCATGTACTCAGCCCTACATGTAGGACTGGGTTCCTAGCTACACATAGAAGTGCTTCTGAATGTATTTAAAGATCTCTCTTTGCATTCTGGAGTCTGTGTTCATTCTGACACAGATATATGTGTTAAACACGACCTTGTAAGTGCGTGGTGAAATGAGAACCTACTTTGGAAACCATGACTGAAATGCATGGTCCAAGACATGTCCTAAAAGAATTTAAAATAATGGAATCACTGAATGCATCATTATTGATGTTTACCTAGGGTATTGCTGCAGAGGCAATGTTTTCTTCTTGGAATATCATACAGGTTGAAGGAGGGAGTCAGGGTGGTTAATATGGCTTGAATGAGTCCTCCCTAGAGACAACATGCTGTTCTAAGTACCTGTATTGTCTCACCTGCGTGGTGTAGCATAGGGAGTGACTATCTGAGATAACACACAAAGCAAGTATAGGATAAGAACACAAATTCCTGGCTGGCCCCATAGCATAGAGCGTGTAGTCCTAGATTCTTTGTTTATCATCTTACAGATTTAAGTAGTAGCTCCTGTCCCGTGCCTGTATGGGCAAGTGGTAATATTCAGAAAACATTTACCTGGGGTATGTGTTCTTAAGGAGTATGTTGACCCTGTTATTGTGTAGGGGGATATCGTTACTCTAAAAAACATCATGTCTAAAGGCCTCTATTTAAACTTCTCCAGTTCCATCAGAGCCTAACAGTAGGTCTGTTGCCTATAAGAAACATTTACCTGGATGTAAAGAAAACAGTTCTTAAGGGTTATGGGTAGTGAAGGTCACCACCAATATGTAACTCCACTTGCAAATTTGAAGATCCTTGAATTTGCTTTGCCAAAAAATGCCCAAAAATGGCATTGCTCTTGCTCCAACTGAAGAGTGATGGTCTCAACAGGTTGCCTGGCAGGCCATGGCCCGTGTGACCATGTTTTGTTCTGTCAGCTTACAGAGGCAAGCGCACACCCCTAACGGGCTCTTAGGACACCTGCCTGCCATTGCTGGCCTTTCTTCTGCAATGAATCTTCCATCTATGTCCAAAGTCATAGGATGACAAACAGACTCTGGCTGCAACTCTGCTCTTTGCTTTGGTTTTTCTCCCCTGCGCCTATTTATCTTTCAAGGCCCCCACTCGTTTTTATCTTCTGGGAGTTCTAGCTTGCATTCAAAGGCATCCAACATCCTCTGTGGGCTGACAGTGTTGGAGAGCCAATGCCAGAAAGTCATACAAGGCATTGATTTCTCTCTCTCTCTCTCTTCTTTGCCAGCTCCGTGATTACTTTCAAGTTTAGTAACAATTTTCACATTGTTTCATTTAACAAGTGGGGCTCTGAGTTTCCATGCAGAAGTTGTGCTGGCATTTGAATGTGTATGTGTGTGTCAGTTTTTAATTTGTGGGTGGGAATGGAGGGACACTCACAGTTATTTTGCAGCTGCTATTTGCAACAGTGGCTTCACTCCTTGGGGTCAGGCACTTTGGCATGTCCTGGGGATGGTGAAGGTGTGGGTCTCCAGCACCGTCCCACATGCACCCGGGTCTCCAAGGTACCCTCCCACACGTACCTTGGGAATAAAATCAAAACCACCCAGGGCAACCTGAAAAAAAAATGGAAAGCTGTGTTTGCATGATCCGTGTCAGTTCACTGCTTTTCTTCCATCCCTTTTATCGTAGGCTTCGGAGCAAATTGCTAAACTGGAACCTTTTAAACTATTCTCTTTTCTCTGCACTCTGCGAGCTGGAAGCCACAGGTCACACTTTTTTCTCCAGTTTCCCACCTGTACCATCTCCGTGGCGTTCAGTCAGTGCCCACTGTCGGTAGGTTGATGGTAACAGCATATGTTCAGATGCTGGGCTGAGGAGCAGAAGGGAGTGTTGCATTGCTAAGAAACCCACCTAGACAGCCAGGAGGCCCAAACTCCACTCTGCTACTGCATTTGCGGCACAGCTGCTAGTAAGTTACTTTTCTTCTGTGTGCCCTCTATGTCCCCCCAGTGTGAAATCTTCACTGCTCTGGAGTGAGGCTACACTGATCATTGTTAGTGAAGGAGTGTAATATCATTTGGTGGATGGCATCTGTATGTCATTGCCAAATATTATCAAATGCTTCCATCACACTCCTGTCTTACTGTCCTTTGGATGCAGCATGTCACCTTAGAAGGAGCAAGGTTAAAAAATTTTCAGTGACAAGAGAACAAGTGGTGGGAAGCAAAGAAAGCAACCGAAACTCACCCGACCTTGGCTGCACCCAAGCAGCTTGCTATGATTAGATATTATTGCGCTAGGAGCTTGGGTAGTTTAATGCCCAGTGCTGGAGGGGATGAAGAGGGCTTCCTTCCTCTGCCAGATGCCTTTGAGTAGGCAGGGCCTGTGCCTACTCTAGTTTCATGTTAACTTCTATTGAATACAATGCCTCATTGTTCAGGAGAGACCACTTTGTTATTTTGTTATAATGAGAAAAATGAAGAGAAGGGGAGTGTTTACTGAATCTCAAAACCTGGCGTTTGCATCGTTCCTGTCCACGCTAGCCTTCTTGCTTCGTGGCAAGTTGTTGTTGTATTTTGGTTTGGTTTGGTTTTTAATCATTCCTTTATCATTCATTTTATCATCATCAATGCTGGTTTAATGGAGCAACCTCAAAAATCTGTGCTGACGATGTACGGGGAGCAGAGGCACTAGAGACACCAGCATAGCTCTCATACACAGAACGTTGGTTTGTTTCTAATACCTTTGCTGCCTCCAATGAACCTTTTAAAGTCAAAGTATGCACATATATGCACACCATTAAGTGCCTAGAGTCCAGACTGGTTTTTTATATTTTAAACACGGGTGGAACTAAAACCCGCCGCAAAACTGAGATGTGCCAGTGATGAGCTGTACAAACTGGCATGTCATTCCTACCTGACTGCAGGCTGGAGGGACAGAAGCAGCTAGTTTTTCCCCATTGTCAGGTGCAGGTAAGGGCACTTTAAGCTTCTAGCTGGGTAAGCTGGCCCTCGCATGCTGTTACCTGTTGGTTAGTGAGGATGGCTGCTAAACAGACAGTATTTCTTCTGTTGAGTCTCAAGAGCTGGTGCCAGCATCTCTTTGAAAAGGAGAGAGCCTTTCAGCTTAGAAAGGCCTGAGACAGGGCCCTTTCCCACTGCTGCATCCTGGCACAGACCCTGCCTGATCACCTGGCACTAAAAAGGACTCTAGGTCAGCCTGGGAATGGAATTGGGACACCTTTGCAATTGGATGTTGGCATTGATCCTGTGCCTCATTAGTCTGATGGCAGGCAGGTTCCTTGAGGCATGCTCTGAGGCCCATCCATCTGATTACAATGTGAGGCTTCTCCTCAAGCAGGGGAGTGGACACAGGGGAGTTTTCAGTAGGAGTCTGATCCCAAGTTGTTATACCCTGGCTTCCTTTTTCCTTATTTCAAGTAGGTTAGTGTACAAATGCACACATATGCATAGGAAATGTGGAATTATGTCTCTCTTGCAAGATTGGCCTCCAAACAGTTAATCAGTCCAAGAGGGGTGACAGGAGAGAAAAGGGAGGAGAAAGGGGGTGCTCTGATTTGCTGTTCACTGGATCCTAGCCATTCTGCCTGGGCTTCGGCTCAGCAAGGCTTCCAGCCCGCACCCCCC